GTGTCTTTTAATGAAATTCAAACCGTTCAAGGCTGAAGACTCCATACAGGAACACAGAAACCTCCCAAATGGATTTGCAATAAAGTCTCATAAATACAAGTTGTGATAGATGTTATTCCATTGAATTGGTTTAAAATTATGACTGGAAACAACACACAACACACACACACACACACACAAGTCAAGGCTTTGATGGATCAAACATACCTCTGGTGCAGAGCTCCATACCTCCAGAGAGTAGACACTTCCCGTTAGAGAAACTGAATAAAATGCACCATTGAGATGAACAAATGTAATGCACCTAAAATGTAACTGTCCCGAAAACGTCCCAGCTCAAAGTAACTGTCTGACTTGCTTGAAACACCGCAGTAATGCTATATGTTTCTTTCCTTTGGGGATCAGTTTGTATTGTTTTTAGCCACTGTATTCGGTACAGATGCAGATGGAACAAATTTAACATGATTTGAAAAACAACTCCCATGTGTTACGCCTCAAAAACAAAGATGCTATCTGAATATTGATGAAATAAGGTAATAAACAAAGGGTCTGTCCTTTAGGATTCTGCACTTGGATAGACTTTGAAACCCAGCAAGTAAATGATGTGGTAAACTGTTTTAAAACAAATACTTTATGTCAAAGCACAACTCAAAACACAACACAAAACACAACTCAAAACACAACTCAACCTGAGTGCTTTTGGCTTTGGTCACTTTTGCCTTCAGGTCTCCAGTTTTCCAGGCACTGGATGAATGATGATGTTGCTGTTTGTCTTTCAAGTGTGACACTGGCTGCTAACACTGTGATTTGTGGCATTACAGCAGACTTCTCCATCAGCCTATCGACCAACCTCACAGATAATGCCTCAAAGAGCTTGAGACTTCACAGCTTTTAAGTCATACTAATCCCTCAACCAATGTGTTTGGAAGCAGAACCTCCATGGTTTTTCCAAAGGCAATTTGTTTTAAACAGTTACTTTTTCAAAAGGTTGAATATGAGGAAATCTGTGAGGCTGATTTGTTTTATGGGCTAGCCCTGCTCTGAATTGCCAGCAGGACATATAGGACAGGTTTTAAGGGAGGGAGGGAGACTGACATTACATATGGGCCAGATGGACTTTCTCCTATCCTGGTCATAAAAGTTCTTAGGACAGTTCACAAATCAAGGCCTTGCAGTATTATGTTAAGCGTTTGGGATTGTTATTGTTATTTTATGTTTGTAAATACTCATGTAATTTACAACTTTTCGAGGATCATTCGAGAATCAACCCACCCTGACGTTTTATGTGTGTGCTTAACAGTTCATACTTGGCTGATAAACTGTCCAGAGCTGTGAGGCTATATTCCATGGAAACATGGTCAGCGTACTAACAGAACAACCAACTTTCTATCGTTTGAATTAAGACCTAGGATTATAATACTGTACCTAGGCTACTTTATAGCTATAAGCTCCTTGTTTTATGTGCAAGGGCATTTTATTTATTTAGTCGAATGGTTTTGGTGTAAAATATCCTCCGAAGGAAACAAAAGGGTAGCAGGTAGCAGGCGAGGAGAGGGGGAAATGAAAAGTGAAATTCAAGATGGTGCCGGGCTTAAACGGAAAACGGTCGTTCTCCAGGGGTCAGTCGTCTTTCCGGAGAAGAGGAAAGTGGACCCCACGGTGGAGAGAGCTTCTGGTGGTCTGAGCCAGGCTGCCTGCCAGGGTTACAGTCTATGAAGTTGTTTCCCTGACACAAGCCTCAGATAAAGGACCTTTCAATGGTCACAATGGTCTCAACCTCCTTGACGTAATGGTATTAATGTCATGATGTCTGAGTGGACATGGCTATGCGCCTCCCAAATGAAATTTGATATCATGAAGTTGCTTCCATTTTTGGATTTTGGAGTAATCACTATAGGCCTATCTGAGATGGGTTTACTTTTAACATTTGTTGATATGCCCTGGGATAGTGGCAAAACTACTGCAATAGGCCTCATAAAAGTAATGGTATTTTATATAGAGTAATACTAGAATTGGCCATGTTTTTCAATAATGTAATATATTGAGCTTTATTAATGCACCCTATCAATAATATTCACATTACATGATCAAATCAATGCACCCTATCAATAAAATATGTACATGTTCAAGTTTAAGCAACATGTTGACTACACCGCCATTCAACTACAGCACCCCCAGTCTGATGACAGGGAGGATTTGACATGTTTCATTGAAGAGAGAACAGGGATGTTATAGATTTATGAGTGTATTTTTTAATCTAATTATTCTCACAGACACTGATGGACATAACAGACACATAACATTGGAGGGGGGGGGGGGGGGGGGGGGGGGGGGGGGGCTGCATAATGGTGCTAGGACATCAGGTTGTTATGCAATGTTAAAACGTGCAATTGGCTGCATTTCATTCAGTGTGCAGAATGTGTGCATTTATTTCAAGATTAAATTATCTGAAATGTACTCCAGTTCACAAAGTTGAGGCACGCTGTTCCCTTCAATCAATATTGACTTTGAAATGCACCTTTGTTGAACAATACCCATTTTAGATGTATGGAACAAGTTTTATGATATTACAATTTATAATATATTTCCCTTATATATTTTTCCTAATGATGAAGAATAACAATATTTCATCACTTGACTTTTGACAATCATATTTGGCTATTTCCTTTATCATCATGCATACAGCTAATGAGAGATTTGTGTTTGTATAAATGATATACTGTCATTCAGAGACTTCTTTACAAGTGGCGAATATTTTGGTCAACTTTCCAGGCCTACACATACAGAGAATGCAGATGTAGGCTACATTTGATTCATTTGCAAAGTCCCATGTAGACCTAGGTCATGCTGATATAGAACGTACCATTGTCTTATAGGAATGTGGTGAGAAACATTATATAAGACGTTTATATATGTGAAGTTTATTGCCTTATTGCTGTAATCAATTAAATATATCTGTTATCAAAACAGGGCATTTAGCAACCAACTTTATTGCCTGTCGGCCAGTTTAAGAGAGAAGCATTAGAGGTCCATAAATGGAGTAGGGTTTGACTCTTAGATCTGCGCCTGGATACATCAAATATAGGCCTACTCATCCGTTTCGTCGATGATATCTGGAGCCAGCAAATGTATACAAACTATAAATTCCCCGTCTTCTCTGCGCTCTCTTTGGAGCGCCAGATTTCTTCTGAATAACATTATTTAGAGGAAAGGGCTTAGCCTTAGCGGAATTACATTAACATGCTCAGATAAAGGTCTTAGAAGCCAAGAGATGTCCACATTTTCATTTATCAAGAGCTTATGATTCCGATATGCAACAAACGGTCTTTGTGAAGTAGCCCTAGCGAGGCTTGACAGGATGGCATCGTTATCCTGTCTCGGTGATGCATGCTATTAGTGTTGCGCGTATAGGCATGTTTTCACTTTAATCACCATAGCCAACTCTTGAATCCGCTTTAGAAAAAAAAAATTCATAAGGAAAAATGAAAAGGTCCTTTAAGGCCTGAAATGCTAAATTAGGCCTAACCCACAAGTGTGCAGGTAAAGAGAAAGAAAGAAATGTGCCTCGATAGTATTATACAACTATTGCACAGATTATTGTCACACTTCCAGTGGGACTGGACAAAGTGAAGTAATAAGCCCTACCACCTTTGGTCCATAATGCTGCACTACAATATTGGCTCTCAGTAAGGCTAGAAGCTAATAAATAGTGAGTTTGACATAACCTGATATCAATAATATAGGCTTGTGGCGTGTGTAAATGCAATTAAAAAGTTGTTATTATGCCACTATTGTGTGGGCTAAGAGGAACACAGCAAGTAGCCTATAGCGGACTGCTAAATAAGGCGTATCTAATTCTTCATTACCTCGGCTGACTCAACTTCATTGGTCACTCACTGACTCTCAGAATTATGAGGAGGCCTATTTGTAGCCTATATGTTGCCTATTTATTTATTTTGCCATCACCTTATTTTAGACACTTCAATTCATCTATGTTAATGATTTAGAAAGGCTACTGACAATAAACACACTGACTTGGGCAAATTGCTCGTTGAAAACGCAGGTGGAAAATGTATTTTAAAACGACTTGCCTAAATTGCATTCGTAAATACAAACAATTAAATGGGGTTGGAATTGTGAGGGAGTATGACTAACTAATTTGAAAAGCTCTGATAAGTTTGATCTATTTAGAACAAATTGACGAGAAGTTAAATGCTCCACCATGTTTCGACTGGGTCAAGACCTGTGTCCATTTAAGCTTGAGTGTACCCATGCAGCTAGGCTTATTCCCAGAAAGCTAAATATTACTTCATATATGGATTATTCTAAACATAAACATATTCCAGCCCTCATAGCAATGATCCCTTCACACAGTGAAATAAGGCCTAGGTGGCAGTGAAGTCCAAGACTTAAAACAGTATTTTGATTTGTACGATAAGAGAGGAGGCTACATGAGGAATTAATGAATAAACATATATTTATATAATAATCATCATCATCATCATGCCCTTCATCATCTGACTTTGGACACACTGTAGGAAGGAAAGTTACAATCCTAAATGTAGCCTATGACGACGAGGAGTCATTAACATTTGACATTTTAGTCATTTAGCAGACGCTTTTATCCAGAGCGAATTACAGGTAGGGTGTCAAGTGCAAGTGTTGGTTCAGTAAAGTTTTGTGTGTGTGTGTGTGTGTGGGGGGGGGGGGGGGTTCACTAGCTAAAACATTTAGGCTAAACGAACCGAATTAATTTAAGGCTACTAAAATAAACGTTATTATCTACTTCAGAGAACTGTTTTGAGAGCGAATATTATAGGCTAGTCAAGACCTTGTCCGGTGTGAAGTTGTCTCTCCTTCAGTGTTGTTTTCAGTATTCGATTATTCCCCCAAAAGAGAAGGTAATAATGGCCCCAATAATAACAAATAATAATAATAATAATAATAATAATAATAATCATCATCATCATCTCTATACATAAGATAATTTTTTTTATCGAAAATCAAAAGTAAGAAACTTTTTATTTACAATATTTTCAGTGCAAATAATTATTGACAAACATATAATACAACAATATTTATCAACGCTTCCACAGTAAATTACATGTAACATTGTGTCATGTTTTGGGATTTCAGGACGCGTAATAAGTGGTTCAGATTAAAATTCACAACACAATATTTCCTTCAGTTGAGGAAAAAGTCATGCACATCGCCTAATACTGACTGACAGAGCTGAAAGATGGAGGGAGTCATAATATCCCATACACGCTGTACAGTCTCCTACTGGCCCTCCACTTTAGGACAACTCCGCTCTGTATATCCATTTATCAAAATAATATTTATATTAAATTATAAATTTTACATTTTAAAAAATAACATTTGACTGTGCACTCATATCAACATTTGCGATGATGGCACAGTTTCTGTAAGGGCACCGACTGAGTTCGCCTCCTCGGTACTCACAGGGATGGCCCCGGTCATTATCACACTAGTCTTGTTGTGCTCAGAAATGTCCATGTCACTCTTGTCCTCCTGTCCGTCCTCGAAATCGGACTCGCTTGCTTCGCTCTCACACTCGGACTCTTCCGGCTCCTTGGGTTCGGCCTCTGTCAGTGACTTGTCCGGTGTCTCCTTCTCCTTATCCTTCTGTGCCTGGGCTTCTTTCGAATGCCTCCACTTCATGCGCCTGTTCTGGAACCACACTTTGACCTGCGGAGAAAGTGCACGAGCTTGTTTAGACGTCGTCGGCCTGAGCCTGTTACTCGCCAACATGTTGACAATGAAATATGCTTCATAGAAATATGACCCATAGAGAGACATAATGAAGAGCATCAAGGCCAGCCTCTACACAACACAACAAGATCTTCTTGATAAGGAAATCATAGTCTACATTTCTGAACGAATAACTTTATAGTAGCCTAGGTAGGCTACAATGAAGTCAAAGTAGAATAAAAAAAAAAAAATGATGGGCATACTTAGCGTAAAGGTGGTCCTAGCCTACAAGAACAATACAAATAATAATTAAACATCAGCTATATATTATATTTGTATTGCTTAACCCCAATGTGGTTAGGTAAGACAATGACCTTTATCCGTTTGCAATAACTTTATAATGACTGTTGCAACTTCCTTTTTAAAATATTTGTGCAACTTTATCTCGACCTGCAAATTGCATGGTGACGCAAATCCGCCCCTATGCTCATAATAAACAGAGGAAATCTATTCCCATCTAAAACGAAAAGACAATAACTTCAGAGGGCATACTTCATCGGTATTCGAGACTCACACACAATAATTCGTTGTAATCGACTTTCATTTGCTTAGAAGTTCTCCATTGCGCAATTGTGCAGTTGCCTACTGGGCTATATTACCGGGTGTGTCCTCTGAGTGGAGGCTTCCTGTCGTAGCAACACAAGGCCAAGTTTGATTGTTTTACACTATTATGTCTTTCCATCTCAAGAATCAACGATTCTATAAAAGAACTCCAGATTTGCATGGTCTATGCTTAAACATGGTTGATTGAATTGGCCTGCTTGTCCATAAAATAGCCCAATTGAGGCTTATAGGCTACAGTAACGTGCACGTATCTTACCTGTGCGTCTGTTAGGCCAAGCATTGCAGCCAGTTGTTTTCTGTCGGGTTTGGTGACGTATTTCTGTATTTCGAATCGTTTCTCAAGCCCTTTTCTTTGCAGGTTGGAGAAGACGGCGCGCGACCAGGACCTCTTCCTTTTGTACGTCTGTGGCATCGTGTCTTTAGTAAGGACAGCATATGGACCTGTATAAACAAAGGGACATAAAGGTCGAGCAATGTTATTTATTCGTTCAAATTTCAAAGTGTAACGATATTTAGTAAATTATAAGGGGCTATCCTAGAAAAGTGGTCAAGCCATCAAAATCCCAAATTATATTAATCAGAAATACAACAACAACAGAAGATAGGCCTAAGGTTTAAAAGCAAAGTCTGAATATGAAAGGCTATGTAAAAAAATATTGTTCGAATCCTTAAATGCGCTGTGTGCGTAAAAGGCCATTTGAAATATGCGGACGGCTACACTACCTGGAAAGGTGTCCTGAAACTGATGCTGCCCTGATTGCCTGGCGCTGTTTAGTGAGCTCATCATGGAGGAAGCGTCGCTCATCCCCGGGTCTATGGATGCGAAGTACTGGCTCGCTGGCTGGATCCCTGACTGACGGTTCGAGCTAACAATGGACGTGAGATCTGTCACAGGGCGAGAGATAAGTAAGAAATTACCGCAACGTATACACGAGTATTCAACGCTGAAACTTTTCAGCTAAAAATGAACTTTTGTGTGCGACTCTGAATTTTGTCTGAAGCTAAAGAGTTCCTAGTTTTATAATGTGGCAGCTGTGGAAGCTTGTATATTCATATTGAGATTTTCTATGAGTGCTTGAAGGATAAAGTACGTGTTGCCACAGTGGTTTTGGTGTCTTCAAGGTCAGTACTTTATAAATGTATACTTAAGTCAATATAGCCATCTTACAAAAAAGTGCCTTTAAAACATAATGGCATTCTTGAATGCTTTCTTTGGCAGTTAGAGAACCTTGAGCATACCTCTTAAAGACGATATGTCTTTTGTTTTGGGGTCGAAGTCTGTTGACAATATCCGATCGATTCCGAACTTGAGGTCCTTGCTTGAAGGTGGGGGAGCTTGTTGGGAGCTGAGACTCGTTCTAGATATCGAAGTTAAGTGTATTCCGTGTCTGTGATATGGAGACCCGGGGTTCACTCTCCCACCGTAGATCGACTGCTCTGGCCCCACCGGTGAAGGACGCAATGGCGATCCAGAGGCGTGAACCTGAGAACGGTGTCCCATATGAGCCATGAGGGCCGAGGATCCCGGGATGTTCTCAGCATCCCCGACCTGCAAAATGTCAGCAATGCAAAAGGAGGGCTTCTTCATTGTATCCATAGCGAAACCACCCGCGCAATAAGCAGACCAAAGACTAAAATTTGATGCGTAAAACGGGTTGAGTCCGGCCGTATACATCCTTAACTCGTAATGTTGCCTCTCGGTTTATCAGAAACTAAAATACAACAACAAATTCGGAATGCAACGTTTAGTTAAGTGTAGTCAGAGTAAGCTGCCGTCTTTATGTAAGTTCCAGAAATCTCTATCAAACAACTATGAAATGTTAGTCTTTGGTCTAAGTACTTCCACAGTGAAGTTTCTCCTCTGACACTGATTGGTTGCTTTCTAGCCAATAGAAGTTTGGTCTCGAACACCGAAACACCCCCTTGTGATGGAGATACGCAGAGTTAAGTGTTGCTAATGACAGTGACATGCTCGTTGACCTCTTGAATATCTTCATAAACATTTTCAACCGCAGCCACCGACAACATCATAATCTTCGTCACCATCTTCATCGTCTTCATGGATAGCAGCAGCAACAACAACAACAATAAATGCAAGTGCAATATGAACATGTAAAAATATATCTTATACTTATGTAATGTAATAGTAATGTAACAATCATGTCTATTCTTGCACTTGGCTTTTAGACATTCGGCTTTGTTTCTGAATAAGTTTAAAAAAAACGTTCATAAAAATCTGATGTCTAGGCTGTAGGCCTACAAATGGAATCATATGTTCATATTATTTTCTGCTAAACATTAGGGTGGTTCGGTTGGGTTTGTGTCGTTCAAATGGAAAAACAACTGACTTTTAAACGATGTGGCCTCCAAAAACTTAACACGGACAATAAATAAGACCGTATTAGAAAAATATCTCAAATTTTTTGGCCATAGGCTCATTTAATTTCAGGCAATATCGTCAATCGAACATCTTAAATACATCTGGGTTACAAGCTAATTTAAGAGAAGTAACGTGATCTACATGGTATAGGCAGCTAGAGTGCAGGAAACTAGAGAGTTTCTATTAGAATTCAGGTCATCCTGTTTTTGATGGGCTGTGATTCGTGCTAAATGAGCCTGTTAGATTTGTCCCAAAATAGAACCTGTTTTAGTATTTTAGGATACAAGCGAAATCCTTATTTCTTCCGGAGCAGAGGGGGGAAACTTTATAATGACTGTTGTAACTTCCTTTTTAAAATATTTGTGCAACTTTATCTCGACCTGCAAATTGCATGGTGACGCAAATCCGCCCCTATGCTCATAATAAACAGAGGAAATCTATTCCCATCTAAAACGAAAAGACAATAACTTCAGAGGCCATACTTCATCCGTATTCGAGACTCACACGTTTCTCACCGAGTAACGAACATAATGGGGGACTGATTATTATGACAATGACAAAATATCTAAGGGTAAATTAGATGTTATTATTATGGTAAACTGGGAATATAATAGTTGTAATATTCGATAGGTAATAATAGCCTAATAATAATAATACAAAATAATAAACAACAACAACAACAATAATAATAATACTTTACTTTGAATAATGAACAATCATATTCATATTGATAATAATGAATAATAACATACTTTACTTTCTTATTATAATATACAAATATTTTACTCATGGCTACAATTTAGTAGTGTGTGTGTGTGGCCTACACATTCGATTGCTAACTTCCAAATTCCCACATCACATAGGCCCATGCATGCAATGTTTAACCCATTGTCATTACGTGCGCGTCTCATCCTCCTACTGCATTCATTAGACTTGATTCATTCCCGGAAGAAACTATGACCCTGGCCTGACTGCCTCCCGTCACGGTGTTTTCGAGTGACACTTTTCAGGTTAAAATTAGAAATGAAATGTAACGTTTACCCTAGATCATGCTGTCAACACAATCCAGGGAAAAGGATGTAGCAGAGGCACAGCGGGATAGCAAGCCTCAGTTATTTCAGGTGCTGATGAGCCTTCAGAAGGAAGCATTCATGGGTGGATTGGCCATCTGGCAATTCTGGCAAATGCCAGAAGGACCATCTTTTATTGGGGTGGGCTGGTCGAAATATATATATATATAAATATATATATATATATATATATATATATATATATATACTGAACAAAAATATAAACACAACATGTAAAGTGTTGGTCCCATGTTTCATGAGATGAAATAACAGATCCCAGAAATTTTCCATACACACAAAAAGCTTATTTCTCTCAAATTTTGTGAACTAATTTGTTTACATTCCTGTTAGTGTGCATTTCTCCTTTGCCAACATAATTCATCCACCTGACAGGTGTGGCATATCAAGAAGCCGATTAAACAGCATGATTATTACACAGGTGCACCTTGTGCTGGGGACAATATAAGGGCACTCTAAAATGTGCAGTTTTGTCACACAACACAATGCCACTGATGTTTCAAGTTTTGAGGAAGCATGCAATTGGTATGCTTACAGCAGGAATATCCACCAGAGCTGTTGCCAGACAATTGAATGTTAATTTCTCTACCGTAAGCCGCCTCCAACATCGTTTCAGAGAACTCGGCAGTACGTCCAACCGGCCTCACAACCGCAGACCACGTGTATGGCGTCATGTGGGCGAGCAGAGTGCCCCATGGTGGCGGTGGGTTTTGGTAATGGCAGGCATAAACTACGGACAACAAACACAATTTCATTTTATCGATGGCAATTTGAATGCACAGAAATACCGTGACGAGATCCTGAGGCCCATTGTGTGGCCCATTTCATTTAAGGTATCTATGACCAACAGATGCATATCTGTATTCCCAGTCGTGAAATCCATAGATTAGGGCCTAATAGAATTATTTAAATTGACTGATTTCCTCATATGAACAGTAACTCAGTAAAATCTTTGCAATTGTTGCCTGTTGCATTTATATTTTTGTTCAGTATATTTTAAATGGCCCTGTTTTTTTAATGAATTGTGCACAATTTCTCTGTTGCCATAATAATCTATATTGAGCATTTGGCTGACCAAGATGGGCCGTCCCGGTTTTCTGATTGGCTGAGCTGAGGTGGCGCAAATTCACATTCATAGTCAAACGCGCATCATCAAAGAAAGTGAGACCTGCTCTGACTCTCACTCAGTCAGAACAGAAAATCGTGGATCATAAAAAAAAACGGAAAGGTGGTGCCGAAAAAGTTAGAGAGTAAAAAAAAAAAAAAAAAAAAAAAAAAGGCTCTTGAGGCCTTTGCTGCTAAAGGTCTGAAATTAACCGACATATTTGCTAAAAGTTCTGCTGGTCCGAGTGCTGTGTCTGTGTCTGTGAGAAATGACAGACGAGCTGTCGAGGTAGGGAGAAAAAAGAGATAGACACACTAAAGACACACTGACACAGATCATGTAGCCTACTGCTGCAAGTTAGGCCTAATATTTTGGCCTCATATTGTATGAAATGGTAGGCTAATTAGGGAAGGGGGGAATTCATTCGGGTGAACATTTAGACACTAGGCTACTTGCAATATAGCCTAACACTTCGTTAGATTGGCTTTTATAACACATAGAGTAAGGCAATAGCCATCTACTAGTCATTTATACAGCGCTTTTTATTAAACACAAGTCATCATGTATTACAATAAAACATTGAATAAATGCATAAATGCTAAATAATCCTAATGAATCCGTTAAAGGTGTAGTCGGGGGCTGTCTGTGGTTAAAGGTGAAGTCGGGGGCTGTCTGTGGTTAAAGGTGAAGTCGGGGCTGTCTGTGGTTAAAGGTGAAGTCGGGGGCTGTCTGTGTATTTTAATTATTTATATATGTTTAGGCTATTTGCTTAACTTCTAAATGTGTCTCTTCAGGCAGCAAGGCAACTAGGGTTTTTGAACTGTAGCAGAGAATGGTCGTACCTGACCTCGCCTCCTCCCGCCTGCCTTCCATCTTTGAGGACATGTATTTCCATTGTTAGAGCGGTCACTCGACTTGCCAATATAACAGATCATATTTGACTTCAGTGACTAGGGACTCTGGTGTCAGATTACATTACATATCTACCGCTATTGGAGACTGGAAAGTCCCGCCTAAAATACAATTCTCTCATCGGAGGGCCCGTTACTGCTTTGCGGAAGGATACGCATACGCGACACAGTCAAACGAAGCACAACATTGGAAATCTATTATGCATTGATTTAGTGATTTTCTTCTTTGTCTGAAAAATGTGTGTTTATTCATTCACAACTAGGATGTTGCTGGGCCCAGTACAGGCAGTGTGGTCTCCTCATCTTCCGGTCCAAGTAATGCTAGACGCAGCACAGACAGTTGAAGCAGAGTCAACTGTAGTGGAGGTAGGAAGACAACACAGTGAGCGAGACACACACAAACACTCTCTCTCTGTCTCTGTCTCTGTCTCTCTCTCTCTCTCTCTCTCTCTCTCTCTCTCTCTCTCTCTCTCTCTCTCTCTCTCTCTCTCTCTCTCTCTCTCTCTCTCTCTCTCTCTCTCTCTCTCTCTCTCTCAGTCAATACTGCTGCAACTATTTACTTTAATGCACATCCCATCCCATATTCTGTAGTATTCATAGTATATTCTGCAATTTTTTTTGTCCATTAAAATAACATCAAATTGATCAGAAATACAGTGAAGACATTATTAATGTTGTAAATGGCTATTGTAGCTGGAAACAGCTGATTTTTAATGGAATATCTACATAGGCGTACAGAGGCCCATTATCAGCAACCATCAGTCCTGTGTTCCAATGGCACGTTGTGTTTGCTAATCCAAGTTTATCATTTTAAAAGGCTAATTGATCATTAGAAAAATCCTTTGCAATTATGTTAGCACAGCTGAAAACTGTTGTGCTGATTAAAGAAGCAATAAAACTGGCCTTCTTGAGACTAGTTGAGTATCTGGAGCATCAGCAATTGTGGTTTCGAATACAGGCTCAAAATGGCCAGAAACAAAGAAAAAGCCATATCTCAGACTGGCCAATAAAAATAAAAGATTAAGATGGGCAAAAGAACACAGACACTGGACATTTTCTTTGCAACTCTGCCTAGAAGGTCAGCATCCCGGAGTCGCCTCTTCACTGTTGATTTTGAGACTGGTGTTTTGTGGGTACTATTTAATGAAGCTGCCAGTTGAGGACCAGTGAGACATCTGTTTCTCAAACTAGACACTATAATGTATTTGTCCTCTTGCTCAGTTGTGCACCAGGGCCTCCCACTCCTCTTTCTATTCTGGTTAGAGCCAGTTTGCGCTGTTCTGTGAAGGGAGTAGTACACAACAATGTCTACACTGTATTTCTG